CCACATGACCCGGAAGCTGTACGCCGGCTCCCTCGGCCAGTAAAGTGAGATGAGCGCCGCAACCCCAGAGTCGGTCACGACTGGACCTAATGGTCAGGGGTCTGTTTACCTTTACCTTTAACCAAGAAGAAAAGGGGCAAGGCAGCAGGAAGGTTGGTCTGGTATAGCCAACGCAGCAAAGACAATCGGCCACTGTGTTTGTGCTTCCTTCCTGCCCATCTTACTCTTCTTGGTTACTAACAGTGATCCCCCACATTGGGAAGCCAGGCAAACAATACTGCTCTATGGCTGCTACTTTTAGAGGCCCTAGTTAGTCTCCCTCCCCCCTTCAGTGGCAAAGGTTGCCACAAAATGCTCTCTCCCCCCCCATTCTTTTCCCTCTTCTTTTTGTAACTGTGGCTGTGTTGTGGTGCTCGTGTACACACGACTCCCAGAGGCACGACACTCTGGGGAAATGAACATGGCAGCCACAACAGCTAGGAACTTTTTCTGCATTATACACACTCTATTAAAAAATAAAAGAAAAATCTGTGGAGGGAAAAGACATTGCAGCAACTGCAACTGATAGCCATTGTCGTTTGGAGGCCTGTATACACTATGCAGCCTTTATCTGCACTCCATAATTGTGTCCTAGCAACACCCCCAAACTGTCAAAGCAGTGAACCTGTCACACTTATCAGGCATCACCAGCAAGTTATAAGTATCGAACACTTAATAAAAGCCAAAAAAACCCTTTAAGATTAGTTTATAAATTCACCTGTGAGCTTCACTTGTTGGCAGTGGAAGTAAACATTGGCTGATTTACCTGAAGCCCACACAGCCAGAATATCTCTTGTGTATTTTCAGTTCCTTCAGTGTTCCTGGATGTTTTTCATCTGTAAGTGTGGACTGTGATGGTTTCTTTGGTTGCTGCTCAACACTCACTCGACCTTGGATGTTTTTATCACCAACCTCTCTAATCATTTTCATTGAAAACCGTCATTGATTTTGCCTGCCAAGCTTTCCCCCTTGTCAAACATCTGAAGAGTTCTGCGAAGTCTGTCCTTTAAGTATTATTTCCAGGTTATTTCCAGATTGTTCTGTTTCAAATTTAAAATTAAAACAATAGAGTTTTATCACCCCAATTCACTTCATAGCATTGATCATACTCAGAAAGTCATCCTTATAAAACAGCCCGAGGAAGGAACGGCGTTCATTTTTTCCACGTTACAAGTACAGCCAAGGGGAAATAATAAGGTAATCTCTGAGGAAAAATACGCTATATCTGTGTAGAGCGAGAAATTAAATTAGTAAATCAATCATAAACCTGAGAAGGAGGCTTACTATTAGTGTTCTGTGGGGAAATAAAAACTTTGTTGGTAGAATCGTTATCATAAGCTGCCCAGGGAACTTCATTAGTGGGTGGCATAGAAATACCATTAATAAATAAATGCTGCTAAGCCAGGTAACAAAATGCTTCACATGGTCAGACACCCCTTCTGAACACAACACCACAGTGCAACTTGATACTCGATCTTCAGATGGCTGCAGCTTTATTCAGTTCCCTAATGGGATTAGAAATCCCCTGCCCTGTTTGGGCATTCAGTTTCCATGTGTGATTGGAATGGCGTGAGGACAAACTGGCCGACTGCCCTCTCCACCACATCTCCATGCCTATCGCCACTAACCTCCATGCAACGGAGGGTGAATATCTGCAGCAGGGAGCTCCTGATGTAGCTGTCAGGAGCTCATCCTACACTCAAGTAGTAGTAATAATAATAATAATAATAATAATAATAATAATAATTTGTTATTTGTACCCCGCCCATCTGGCTGGGTTTCCCCAGCCACTCTGGGCGGCTTCCACAGAGACCAAAATACATTAAAATGTCACACATTAAAAACTTCCCTGAACAGGGCTGCCTTAAGATGTCTTCTGAATGTCAGGTAGTTGTTTATTTCCTTGACATCTTATGGGAGGGTGTTCCACAGAGTGGGCGCCACTACCGAGAAGGCCCTCTGCCTGGCTCCCTGTAGCTTTGCTTCTCGCAATGAGGGAACCGCCAGAAGGCCCTCGGCGCTGGACCTCAGCATCCGGGCAGAACGATGGGGGTGGAGACGCTCCTTCAGGTATACTGGGCCGAGGCCGTTTAGGGCTTTAAAGGTCAACACCAACACTTTGAATTGTGCTTGGAAAGGTACTGGGAGCCAATGTAGGTCTTTCAAGACCGGTATTATGTGGTCTCGGCGGCCGCCCCCAGTCACCAGTCTAGCTGCCACATTCTGGATTAGTTGTAGTTTCCGGGTCACCTTCAAAGGTAGCCCCACGTAGGACCCTGGCAGAGACACATGCCCAACTAGCATGTTCTCTCCCTCCTGTTCGATCGTTCGGGAGCTTCAGAAGCTTTCTTCAGCCCAAACATCACAGTGACTGATGCCAACAGACATCGGCACACTTAGGGATCCGCAGAGTTTGCGCAGCTTGCGTAACAGACCTCAGCAACTCAGCATTTTGGCTAATCTATTTTATTTACGTATAAACACACACGGAGCACTGCATCAGACAGCAAAGAGAAAAAGAACAAAGGACAATAGTCCCACTTCATGGAACACAGTAACACAAACATCCTGTCTCCGTCACTTCCCACTTTGTGGAGTCAAAACCTGTGAAAGACAGCAATCCCATGACTGCAATCATGGAGCAGGAATTCTAACATCAGCCACCCTGCATGGTTGAGAACCCTGATCATGCATGAAATGGAGGGACAGTGGTGCCGAGCGTATCCACACTCTCACGTGTGGGGAAGCTGAATGCCTGAATAGGGCTTACCTTGATTATGATTCTGCAGCCTTCTTATATGTTGTACCTTAGATCTGCTATCAGTTATTGCTTTGGGGCAGGAAGTGAATATAGCAGGTGCAGAATCGCAGTGTCCATTGCTCAAGAGATCTCTCCCACCTTCGATACCCTTATGAAACACTCAGATATCGAAAAGCAATCCATAGCGATTTAATAGATACAATCTGATCCGCACCACACATTTAAAACAGATCCAATGCACATTTAAACCACACGACTTCTCCAAAGAATCTTGAGAACTGTCGTTTCAGGGTGCTGGGAATTTTATCTCTGTGGTGAGGAAACGACACTTTTCTGTAATCTCAGCATTCTTTGGGGAAGTCACATGCTTTTAAATCACCACCTTTCTTCTCCATATCTGGTACAGCGGAACCTTGGTTTTGGGGCATCTCGGAAGTCGAACGTTTCGGCTTTCGAATGCCGAAAACCTGGAAGTAACTGCTTCAGTTTTCAAACAATTTTCGGAAGCCGAAACTGCCACACGGCTTCCCTATTGAGTTTTCTGGATGTAAATGCTTCTGGAAATGCAGGCTTTGGTTTCCAAATGTTTCAGAAGTCAAACAGTCTTCCGGAACAGATTATGTTCGAAAACCGAGGTCCCACTGTATTGGGAAGGGGTGTTGGAGGTGGGTGCTGTACACGTTAAGGAAGTGTTCGTGAAAAAAGAAGTCTCTCCAGGATGAAGTGTTAAGAAAAATTTCAAAGGCAATGGATTTTGCATGTGTCTTGACACTTCAGACTCACTCTGTATCAACTCTTTTATCATCATTGATATGAATATTAAGAGGATGTTCTACTTTGGCTTTCCATCCAAAGCCATTCCATGCTATTATGTCTGAATCTGAAGGATCATAATGAATAATGTCTGAATACTATCGCAAAGGCTACTGTGTCATTTTTCAGAGGCTGTTTATAAATCCAGTGAAAGCCTTTGCAGCTGATAAAACACACAGCCTAATGGGAGATTGGCATTTGTCTTTCTTGAAAAATGTTTAAACATATGTGATAGTGTGAAGTGCTTATCACTTAAGGCAGAACTAATTAATCAACTTAAAGTATTTTTAAAGTCTGCAGATATATATTAAAACTCTCCAATAAATCACATGAATTCATTTTTTATTGCACCTTTTTATAACAGTGTACTAATTTTCATTTATAAAATATTTTGCAAGTACATTTTTAAAAATTAACCCTTATGCGGTATTATAAAATGGTTTAGGTTTTAAAAAAAGTTTTTACTGTGAAATATAACATGTGAACAAATAGAATGACAGGATTTAAATCAATATAAAGGTAAAGGTAAAGGGACCCCTGACCATTAGGTCCAGTCGTGGCCGACTCTGGGGTTGCGGCGCTCATCTCGCTTTATTGGCCGAGGGAGCCGGCGTACAGCTTCCGGCTCATGTGGCCAGCATGACTAAACTGCTTCTGGCGAACCAGAGCAGTGCACGGAAACGCCATTTACCTTCCTGCCGGAGCAGTACCTATTTATCTACTTGCACTTTGATGTGCTTTCGAACTGCTAGGTTGGCAGGAGCAGGGACTGAGCAACGGGAGCTCACCCCGTCACGGTGATTCGAACCGCTGACCTTCCGATCGGCAAGCCCTAGGCTCTGTGGTTTAACCCACAGCGCCACCCGCATCCCTAAATCAATATAGGAAATGATAATGATATAGCAGATTCAAACCAGAGTTTCAGAATCACGTTTTTCAAAAACATTATTATGCTGACTTTATTTATTTATTTAAAGTATTTTTAGACTGCTGTTCATCAAAGCTTCATAAACAGCTGTGCTAAGTGTAAAGACCAAATTTATTCTAAATACTGTTTGCTTTACTATTTAATATATAACTATTTTTAAAGATTATTAGTGAATTATAACCAAAAAATGTTACACTATAGCAAGCATAGGCAAACTTGGCCCTCCAGATGTTTTGGGATTACAATTCCCATCATCCCTGACCACTGGTCCTGTTAGCTAGGGATGATGGGAGTTGTAGGGCAAAAACATCTGGCGGGCTGAGTTTGCCTATAGTATATACCTATGATAATTCTCAACTACTACAAAGTATAATGGTGCATATTTTAAGGACTGCTTTTCAAAATAGAGAGCTCTTGTAATAACTTGTTCCTTTAATCTACAATTGTTGTTGTTTTCAGGTGCAGCTGAGAACTAGCCTTTCAAGTCAGTATGTAATTCGTACCCAGCCTACAAATGCATGCCTGTCAACACTTGAATGTGCAGCTATTTCCCTGGCCATCATGGAGAAGAATGATGGTATTAAAGAAGTAGGTAATTTTACTCTGCTAATGGAATAATAGGGTGAGAACAAGGCTATTTCACAAGGCTGTTTCACAAACAGGGCTGTATTTATTAGCCAAGGACCATATACCATGCATATTTATAGTTGCAAGTTGTTAACTTCAGAGATTTAACAGAAGGAAGAAGCAAAGTTCTCCTAAGCATTTTGCACTTCCTTGCATGCCATACATCAACATCTGTCAAAAGCAGCTACATAAGTACTGCTTTTGGGATACTTTATTCCATACATTTAACTATGTTCTAAGTAAAGTTGCAACCGTAATCCCATTTACAGTGGTGCCTCGCAAGACGAAATTAATTCGTTCCGCGAGTTTTGTTGTCTTGCGATTTTTTCGTCTTGCGAAGCACGGTGTCGGGAAAGTTTTGGAAAAGCTTCAAAAATCACCAAAGTCTTTAAAAACTTCAAAAAAGAGGTTTTTAGGAGTTGCTCCTCGAAGTCAAGTCGCAACTGTATTAACGGTGTTAAGAAAAAGGAAACAAACTTGCAAGACGTTTCCGTCTTGCGAAGCAAGCCCATAGGGAAAATCGTCTTGCGAAGCAGCTCAAAAAACCCTTTCGTCTAGCGAGTTTTTTTGTCTTGCGAGGCATTCGTCTTGCGAGGTACCACTGTACCTGGGAGTAAGGCCAGTTGAATTCAGTAGAACTTACTCTGAAGTAGACATAGTTAGGATTACGGTGCAAATTACATCTTTTTTAAACAAGATGTTTTTAAAAGTCAGCAAAAATACTTATAGGTTCTAAAGTGAATCACAGACATATGCATGGTACCAAATTTTGACCCTTGGTTCTTTGTTCTTCTGACATTGGCTATTTACAAAAGCAGAATAAAGATATTAGTGTTGTTAGATTGAAAAGTGTGCCACTCCTCTTTCCCCTCTGAGGTTACATAACTCTCCTTTTCTTATATTTCATAACATTTCATGCCGAAACAAAGGTTGTTGAAGTCAGGCTAAGCAATTATCTTCTTTCACGGTAATGAAATACATAAATGTTTATAAATAGGTTAAACAGCTACTCTGTGGTCCAAAGGCATCTGTGGTGAACCCCGAAGAATAATAAGTCACTGCCAATCCAATTTCAACCAAGCAATTAATAACAATCATTCCTGCATGAGATACTCTGCAAAGATGACCTAAACAACCCTTGAAGTGAGCTTGAAGATTAAAATATATTTGTAAACTCATCCCAATGACTGAAAGCATTCTTCTAGCCTCAGGGTACGACCCACTGGGTTATTTCAATCTACTAATCAGCTTAAAACTGTCAGATGTCATTATAAGAATTGGGAACATGACAGCTCTGGAGTTTAAGTTTATTCTACTGGGTCAAAGAACCAACAATAAGACATTAGCCTTTGCTGTGCAAGTGGATCTCATGGGTCTGTGATGGAAGACTCTGTCAAGATTCTAAAATGTCTCCAATACACTTTGGTAACTAACACTGGAAACGCTACATGATTGTTAGCACTCCAAATGAGAATCCTAAGAAACAGTACTGTAATGACTGTTTCTCATTGTGGGTTTTCAGAATAAATAGGCTTTGGGACAGGGCTCGGGAACCTTGACCCTCCATCTCCCATCAGCATCCATCACCATGGCCAGGGATGGGGAGAGCTGTCATCCAGCATCATTTTGTCAGCCACCACGCCCACCTGCCCTACACCTGACAGGTAAAGGTGTGACTCAGTTGAAAGTAGGGCTTACAGGCTTTATCAATCACCTGATTGTCAGGCGTGGGGCAGCTTGGCTGGGACCAGAGTTTGTGATGCATGCAAACCTTGTACTTCTGCCAGTACAAAGTGTTGTTCCTTGGCCTGCATGGCTTGATTTCAAACCATGTTGTCAAGGGGAAATGGGTCACCTGGTGATAACTGTGATGTCAATTGACTGACAGACTTGACCCGTAGGTGGTGAGGGAGATAAGGATCTGTGCCCCCCCTTCTCCAGATCCAGTTCCTCACTCCTGGTCTTTAAATGAGTTTATGGCCTTCACAGCAATGGATACCCAATCTTAGGTAACCTGCCAGGTTTCTGTTTCAAGCTACAGTGGAACCTTGTGTTACGTACCGCCCTCCTTACGAATGCTTCGGGTTACGAGCTCTGCTAACCCAGAAGTAGATGCTCCCGGTTGCGAACTTTGCCCCGGGATGTGAGCGGAAGTCATGTGCTGGCGGTGCAGCAGCAGCGGGAGGCACCATTGGTAAAAGCACACCTCATGTTAAGAACGGTTTCAGGTTGCAAATGGACCTCCGGAACAAATTAAGTTCGTAACCGGAGGTAAGGTAAAGGTAAAGGGACCCCTGACCATTAGGTCCAGTCGCGGACGACTCTGGGGTTGCGGCACTCATCTCGCTTTATTGGCCAAGGGAGCTGGCGTACAGCTTCCAGGTCATGTGGCCAGCATGACTAAGCCACTTCTGGCGAACCAGAGCAGCGCACGGAAATGCCGTTTACCTTCCCGCTGGAGCGGTACCTATTTATCTACTTGCACTTCGTGCTTTTGAACTGCTAGGTTGGCAGGAGCAGGGATTGAGAAACGAGAGCTCACCCTGTCACGGGGATTCAAACCGCCGACCTTCTGATTGGCAAGTCCTAGGCTCTGTGGTTTAACCCACAGCGCCACCCGCATCCCTTGTAATCGGAGGTACCACTGTACTAAGATTTGTAGCCAACGTTTGCTGAATTGTTAATGGGTTCAGGTTGTTTCAAACCTATCTGAATTGCGTTTAGCAATGAAAAACATATTGTTAGTGAACCTCCCTGTATTTTGGTGTTTCTTTACTCCCAGTTTTATGGAATAAAATATATCCTGTGTGTATTTGGAATATGAAGGTGTACTAAATACTAGCACACTGTTTAACAGCCCTTTGCACATTCAGAGTAAGGGAGTGGGTGGCGCCATGATCTAAACCACTGATCCTCTTGGGCTTGCTGATCGGAAGGTCGATGGTTCGAATCTGCGCAACAGGGTGAGCTCCTGTTGCTATTTCCCAGCTTCTGCTAACCTAGCAGTTCAAAAGCACACCAGTGTAAGTAGATAAATAGGTACTGCTGCGGCGGGAAGGTAAATGGCGTTTCCGTGTGCTTTGACACTTGTCACAGTGTCCTGTTGCACCAGAAGCAGTTTAGTCATGCTGGCCACATGACCCAGAAAGCTGTCTGTGAATTAATGCCGATTCTCTCGCACTGAAAGAGAGATTAACACTGCACTCCATAGTTGCCTTTGATTGGACTTAGCCGCCGAGGGGCCCTTTACCTTTACATGACTAAACTGCATGCAGTTCAGAACTCTGCCTACCCTTCTTGTATTTTAGCCTTTGCAAGAAAAAATTTAGTTTTCTGTTGTGTTCCCCCCGCCTCCACCTTCCCACTTTTACCTAGCACCAACACAGTAGAGCCAAAATTAGGAACACAAAGAAATATGTCCAGGAAGCTTAGAGCACGACAACAACAAAAAGCATTGTATTAAGATCTGCAACTCCTTTAAACAACGTGCTTGCAATTCTTCTGATCATTTTTATATCAAGCACACATTTCAGTATATTAAATATTTCATCTCAACATGTGATAAAATCCAGCCTGCAAGCTTCAGCATAATTCAGTGGAAGCTCCCTTTGAAATCAGTGTGAGTTCCAGTGTGCTCAGGAGTGGGATATCAGTCATTTACTTGGTGCAGTGACAAGCCTGTGTTAACTCAAGATGAAATAATATCTGAAACCTATGTAATAAAAGCTTTTTCTCTCTCTCAGTCTCCATCTGTCTCCTTTTTTCCAGACTGTCCTCCGTCCTCTTCAAGCCCTCTGCTCTTTCCAGCTTCAACACGGCGCCCAAGTTCATCACAGCAAGGAGCACCTTCTTAAGAATGGTTTATACGACAAGCCCATGCCAAAAAACAAGCGCAAGCTCAGAAGAATGGAGCTCTTAGTGAATAATGTTAAAATTTAGCAATGTCATGTAGAATTAGCTTTATTTATTTTTTTAAAGAAAGAATCCTTTAAAATGATGAAGTGGAGTTTGATATGGATTTAATCCAGACAATCATCTCTTTTGATAATGGACAAAGTTCAGGTGGCAACTTGCCAAGGAGTTCAAACATTATAATAATAATAATGAAAAGCAGAATGCCTGGACCATCAGGGAATAAACAAGAGATATCCGTTCCCCCATACTCTCACCCCTGTTTATCAGTCTGTGATCTTTAGTAGGGCTTCTTTAATTTTTTTATGGGAGGCTTTTGGCATTACTGCACAAGGAACATAATTTTTTACAAGGCAGCGGTTAGAAGACAAAATTCCAGTATGGGGATTTTGATTTGCAACAACAGTGGGAATGAAATAATAATTTTAACATTTCCCCCCGTTTAATTTCTTGTTCTGATTAAACAATATGTCATATAAACCTTCATGTCCAGTTCACATTGCGGGATGTCGGTAAGAACAGACTAGTAAATGTGATCATTGGAGAACAAGGTATTTTGTCCTGTCACTCAGGAGAGCAATTACACACTGCAATACACTTGTATGTGATTAGCATGTACATTGTCAGGGGAGAAGGCATCCAAACATGCAATGGATGTGAGCTAGAAAGCTGTAGCCAACCATAGATGATGATTAGGAGCTTAACCATGATCAGGCAACACACTAAGCCAAATCTTGGTTTAGCTGCTGCACGGAGCTAGAAGGGAACAGAGAGCAGCAAAGCGGGTGCAAATCTCACTCCAGGAGCCCGCATGCTTCTGCAGTCCTGATCAGCCATAGTTTGGCTTCCTGTGAGTTGCAACTGTGCTTCCTACAGCCTGGCCACAGTAATCCATGCTTGAAGAACCTCACAATGGGATTGCTACAGTGCACTTTACATGAGCTACCATGAAGACAATCTGATAGCCTCACCTCATGCAAAATACAGCTAATGCAAAACAGCCTAGCTGTTGAGCAAGTCAGCTAGATGGGACCAGGAGGCACTGATCCTTAAAGCTCTTCACTGCCCACCTTTGACCTACCAGGACAAATTTAGGACATAGGTACTGATACATAAAAAAGCATCTCCCCAATATCTTCTAGCCTGTGTTCTTAGTTTGGCAGATAAGGCCCTCTTCATGATCCCACTGGTTGATATGGCCTGTGGGGCCGTTGTCTGAGACAGGGACTTCACAGTGGTGGCTCCCTGACTGTGGAATTCCTCCCCAGGGAAGTGCAGTTGTGCCTCACAATGTTAATATTCAGATGTCAATTAAAAACCATCTGTGCATTTGGGCAACAAACTCTCTGGGATTCATCAGTTTTGTTATTAACACCGATTTTTAATATTGTTTTTAAGGATTGTAATTTTTAGTTAGTTATTAATTATTCACTGTGTTTTTTACGTTGTGCACTGCCCCAAGCTCCTTTAGAAAAAAAGGTGGTATATAAGTGTAAATAAATAATAATAATGGGTGGTATCTGAGAAAGTAGTTCCATTAATGCAAGGACGTTGGGCTCCACGAAGGAACTGTGCCTCATGTCTTTCTTGCACCCCACATGCGCCACCTAGATGCGTTCTGGGGGTTCCCTCAACCCTCCAGAGCACATTTGGGGAGGGTATGCAGAGAGAGAAAGAGGAAGTTCAGTTGCACAAATGTAAATCCTTGCACTGACAGACAGGGCCGTCTTACCCACAGGTGCTAGGGTTCGGGGCACCCAGGTGCCGGGCTCTCAGGGGCGCCAGGCCGAGAGTCCAGGGCCCGAGAGTTGAGTCTGGGGAAGAGCCCGTCCATCAGTTGGAGCTGTTCTGCTGCGGGCGGCTCTGCGCAGTGAGTTCGGGAGAGACCAAGCCACCCAGAAGCTGAGGCGGCTGGCCAGTTCCGCCCTCCTGTGCGCCTGGGACTGGGCAACCAGGGTGTGTGTGTGTGCCAGGTGGATCCTTGCACCCCGGCACCACATATGCTTAAGACAGCCCTGCTAATGGAACTGCTTGGTTGGAAACCACCCAATACTTTTTAGTCATGTGTCAGGGATTGACATTTTATAGCAATGTTACTATTGTAACACAAAATGAATATGTGGTAGAAGCTGAAGAAGAATGTCCTGAATCAATAATGTATGGTTAACTGTATTTTGTCTAGATGAAAGAAATTAAATCAATATTACTGAAAATATGGGTTGCAAGGAAATACTGTTAATGCTGACATAGAACATTCTTAACTGTAGATGTATCCTGGCTGCAGCAGTTGTTCCTGTGAAAGCAGCAGCAATTAAGCTTTGTAGCCAACATATTCCTCTTAATGGAGGATGCACTCGCTTCCTTTGATTAAATTTCCCTTGCTTCAGAATCATTAACATAGTAGTATTTTCTTCTGTACCAAAAATATTTTTCCCGTTCAAGTTCTAAAGAAGAGAGGAAAATCTAATACCCCAGATTCACAGTTTAAAATGTCTTGGTATTATTAGTCAAATAACCCCTTCATTTATAATACCACAGTGTGAATTTTTATTAAATGTGGATTAATGTTTCATGTATATGAAAGAGGTCTGTTTTGGCACCCTTTGCAAGTCTTCTTAATACATTAGTATGTTTTTACTCCTTTGGAACTACTCAAAAGAATGCTTTGTATAATAGAATCTTTTGGAATCTCAATCTTTTAATTTTCTTGAGGTTTTTGTACATTTAGAAGTGGTGCTGTTCCTGTTTGCCACATAGAATATAGCTGGATCAGCTTTCTTCATTGTTTCTCCTCTAATAATTAGTTCTGTTAACTCCGTCTTATATCCATGTTTATTAGAAGTATAGCACACTGGTTGCTACTGTTTTCAGGAAATGTTGAACTGTTTTTCAGTTTATAAGTTACTAGCAGCCTTACACACAGCATTGTTGGGAAATTCTAAGAAACAAAAAATAAAAAAATGAGTGCAGTTGTGAAATAAGTGGTCAAAATCAGTGCACTTTTCAAAGGTTCCATCCGCCATCTTGATTCAAAATGGCATCCAGTTGTAGCCAAATATAGACAGAATTACTGCTCAGTGCACAAAAGGCTCCTTCCATTCACTGATGGGACTCTGATCCAGTGGAGAATCCTGCTAGAGAAGGGATAAGGAGCCTGATTCAAATTAGGTGCTTGCTGTAGCACTTGGGGGGGGCTCTTAAAATGACTGAACACACGCCAAAATGACCAGAAGAATCCGAAATCAGGAAGTCAAACATTTTAATACGGAATGAGGAAAATTTATAACTTATCTTAAAGACCATTGTAAACAGTTAAAATCATCAGTAGGGTTGGAATATCACTTGTAGTTTAAGGGTGAATTCTGGACACAGTGGAGATGTAAAAGATTTGGATCATCATAAAAGATGCAGGAAGAAATGATTAATAATAAGAGCCACAAAGGGAAGGATGGAAGTGCAGGAGGTTCCTAGGAATCCTGTTTTTATTATCTATGTTCGATATATGACTGTAAAATTTTGATCTGAAAAACCAAATAAATTTAAATAAAATAAAATAATTGAACGCACATAACACCCAGCTCAAACACATATAGGTCTATCAAGATTAGTGACACAGTGTGTTTTATGGTTGATTGCATTGTCTTCATTATTTACAGAAGAGCTTGTGTTCCTTTAGGAATCAGGCTAAATGGACATCTGGCAGACCTGTATAAGCTTCCACTTCCTTTAACAGCCTTCCTGGGCATAAATGGGAAGGGAGAAGAAATCCAGGCTCTTGTTTCATGCGTAGCAAAGATCATGTCCATTAACTGTGCAAATGTATTAAGCAATTTATTTTTCATACAAGTTGGTCTTCAGTTTCGCAGTATCTTCTTTTAGTATTTTGGTTTCTTTCTATTCAATTTGTTGGTGACCCTTCCCCATTTGTTAAGAGAAAAACACTTCAGTCTGGGACTTGTCTTATTTTAGTTTATCTCTTTAGTATTTTTTATTCAAAATGGTATTGAAAGAAAGCATCATGAAAGTCTGGACTTTTGACTGATGGAACAGTTTTAGGGTTTGTGGTATAAGTTTTCTGAGCAAGAATTGAGCTCTAACTTCACTTTCCCCTCTATTCCTCATTACTGTTAATTATCCAAATGAGAGAACTTACAATGAATTAATGTTGCATTTGAATACTTGAGTAATTTCCTCATGTTTCTTTTCTGTATTACATAGATGAGTTTTGTTATTGCGAGTACAAATTACATGCACTTTTTGTCAAATGTGAAGGCTCAGTGTGTTTCCTTAAAATGCTCAGAAGTTGCAATCAGAGAACTGCCTACTTGCAAGTTATTTTAAGGAGACAAACTTTTTTTTTAAAAAAATGCATTGATAGAAAACAAAGTAAAATTGACCTTGAAGCAAGTCTCATTGAATTTTGCGGGACTGCTAAGTGGACATCCATACAGTTGCACTAGCATGAATGTGATTTGTGATTATGCCTACTCCAGAACAACAGTGTGGCTTTGTCTGGGGAAGCTGTGTGGATTTGTTGCCTCTGTACTGGCAACAAGTGCTTAGTTGTTCCTCTCTCTACCTCCTAGGCTAGTTTTGAAGATAGAACAGATTACAGTCATACCTTGGAAATCGAACGGAATCCATTCCAGAAGTCCGTTCGACTTCCAAAACGTATGGAAACCAAAGTGTGGCTTCTGATTGGCTGCAGAAAGCTCCTGCAGCCAATTGGAAGCCACGGAAGCCCCGTCTAACGTTCAGCTTCCAAAAATAGTTCGCAGACCGGAAGACTCACTTCTGGGTTTGCGGCGTTCGGGAGCCAAAACGTTCAAGTACTAAGCTGTTCAGAAACCAAGGTACAACTGCATTACCAGCTATACCACCTGGACATCCTTAGCAGAAAGACTGGTGTGTGTGTGTGTTTTAAGCAACATAACAATTTTTTGTTGTTATTATTCATTTTATACCCTGTGGAATCCATTGGAGAATCTTTAACAGCAGTTAACAAGAAGTGATTATCTGTCATTGAATAATCTGCACCTATCCTGTGGCAAGTTACTCTTGGATACGAATGTGGTCTGATCAAAATCTCCATGTGCTCAAGTCCAAATCCTGCTATAATGTACCTATATAGTCATTGTCTTGCCATTTAAATCAGATGTGGTAAAACTTCACTGAACTACAACTCCCATCAGCCCCTGCAAACATGGGAGTTATAGTTCAGCAACTACTGGAAGGCCAAAGGCCTGATTTAAATATTCAACTCCGTATTCGCTTCAAAGCACATTCTGTTAAGGACGTCACTGAAATCAACGTGCCTTTTAGCAGAGCAATTGGGTCACCAGCATTTTAGAAGAAGAAAAAAATATTTTTTCTTTCATTCAAACTGCCGCTTCCGATGTGTGCAGGTTTTAGACATGCATAAATACCTCATCCATGGTGTGTGTTGGTGGTGGTGGGGTTTAATTGGAAGAAAATAAATGTTCATTTCTTGACTCTGTGCTCAGTTCAGGAGACAAAAGAAAATATGTTGACAGAGTATATCGGCAGAGCGGTTCCCGTTACGTTGGTGATTTCTACATGAAAATACCTAATACATAATTTAGAGAAGGCAGAAGCAAGTGCCTGGGTGGCCAATGACTCCAATGAGAAAATCATGTTGGAACCAAAACATGCTATGTAAAATGCATGATAAGACTTAGTGCTCAATTTTAAATTTTAATTGACTTTGGTCGCATGAGGCAGGCCGATGTACAGTTAAGGTGAATTCCCAAACAGCTTTTTGACATGCCAGCTATTAGAAGTGTTGTAAGTAGTTCGTGGTAATAAAGAAAAAAAGGGGTAGGTAGGGGGAAATCCAAGAAAGATGCATTAGTTAACCTGAAGTGATACCAAGTGGTCGCTTGACATGAATAACAAGCCTTCATTTATAACATTAAGGCTGTAGTGTGCAAATTTGGAGTCGGTGCTATTGAAACAAGTTTTAAAAATCTCCTTTTCAAGTAGAGATATTAAGAATGTAATGCCGCATGCATTTTTCTGAAGACCTGGGATTGATGGCACTGCCGTCAGTATTGTGGGTAGAAGGCTGTGGCTTTCAAACTTTCTGCTTTCAAAGAACCCTTTCCACATCGGCCGGTCTGCCAAGGAACCTTTACGCATCTGCCAACAAACTCATGTATTGCAAAGAATTTTAAAGTATGTTCCAGTTCACACAAGACAATGCCAAGTAACATCACCCTGCAAAAATTGATGCATGGAGCATAAGGAAATGGTAGAATGCTGAGGGAAAATAGAAAAATGTGTTAAGCCAGTCCAAAATGGCGTGTCTCACAAATTGCCTGAATTTGGACAGTGCTTACAACTCATCTCCAGCTCATACTACAGGTGATTTACATGTTACAGGGATAGATCCGTTGTTCAAAGAACTGTGTCTGCTGTTATTGATCTCAGAAGAACCTCAAAGAAGCTTCTGAATGACTCAAGAGTTGGCTGCTATGCTGCTTGCAAACAACAGGCATTTGAGATTGAACTGAAACATCAGACTGGCTTCATGGTAACAAGGAACTGTGCCAAGAAACCTTAGCCCAGTTTTAAAATTTACAGCAGAATCTTTGTGTCTTTGGCATAAAGAATATGAATAATATAGTATGTACTGCTTGTCTTAAATGCTTGTGGTGCTTCCCATACCTTATCTCAAAAATCCTTCGAACAACTTGGCAACTACTTCAAGATTAAAACTTAAAGATAATGGTTTGTCTGATCCAATGAATTTATGATGGAGTTGAAATACAAAATATACTCGCTTCGTGCTCTTTAGCACGACATCAGACCAGCTATCAAACTGCTTAAAATATTGTTTCTACTTCCAAAGTCCAGAGGTGAACGTGGATATATACTGCATGCAAGGGGGAGGTATCAGCAGCCTGAGGAAAAGGGGAAAGAATGGAGTATTCTGGAAGAGGGGAAGTGACTGACTGGAACACTGAACAGGAACACTTTACACCACAACCTTCCATTGCAGATCCTACTTTTTCAAATACAAATGTATATGTGTCAAGAGAATTCTCAGCATGAATATATTGGATGAACAAATAGATTGATCACTTGTAGTGTGTGCCCCCCCCAATTGTGGCATTATGACATCTTTTACTCCTGATTCAGTGGTACCTCTGGTTATGAACTTAATTCGTTCCAGAGGTCCATTCTTAACCTGAAACTGTTCTTAACCTGAGGTACCACTTTAGCTAATGGGGCCTCCCGCTGCCGCCACACGATTTCTGTTCTCATCCTGAAGCAAAGTTCTTAACCCGAGGTACTATTTCTGGGTTAGCGGAGTCTGTAACCTGAAGCGTCTGTAACCCGAAGTACCACTGTAATTGTTTCGCCCACAGGTTATAGAGGCAAAATTAGTAGTTACCAGATTCCTTCAAGATGAGGAGGTTTCCTGGTTTTCCAGCCCTGTCTTACCAGGATCCATGGTGTTCGTCAGTGAGCAATACTGAAAGCTGCCACAAGCCAGGCTTTATCATAAACATAAGGGAAGCTTGATAATGAAGCATAGAGTTGGAAGGGACCC